GGATGTGTGGATGTGTGGATGTTGATGAAGTTCTGCTAGATTCACCCATTGTTGAAAACGAAATATTAGATGCGATAAATCACCTCAAGAAGGGAAAAGCAGCTGGTCCTGATGTTGTAGTTATCGAAATGTTGAAGTGTTCTAAGTTTGAAGTTATGCCTTTTCTTTGCAAATGTTTTAATAAGCTATTTGAAAATGGTGTTTTCCCAAGCAACTGGTCATGTTCTATAATAATCCCCCTGCATAAAAAAGGAGACAGGAGTGACCCAGGTAACTATAGAGGCATTTCATTAATGAGCATTTTAGGAAAAGTATTTACTACAATATTAAACAATAGAATTTCAAAATGGGCGACCATGCGTGATAAGATTCCTGAATTTCAAGCTGGCTTCAGAAAAAGTTATTCCACCGTAGATCATGTATTTACACTATATGCACTTATTCAAAAAACCTTGTCACGGCGTAAGCATAAACTGTATGTAGCATTTGTAGATTTTAAAAAGGCTTTTGATTCTGTCAATCGCTTTAAGCTATGGACATGTCTACGAAAAGCTGGTTTACGTGGGAAAATGCTTACTATTCTAAAATCAATGTATTCTAATGTGAGATCATGTGTTCGTTGTGGGGATAGTTTAACAGATTTCTTTGATTGTCCTTTGGGCCTAAGACAAGGCTGTATTTTGAGTCCGATCTTATTTTCATTTTTCATTAATGAATTATAATACGAAATAGCTGCCAGTGGTAAACATGGTATCCAAATGTTCCCAGATTGGATAGAAATACTAATGCTACTTTTCGCAGATGATGTCATTTTAGTGTCAGATACTGTTGTCGGTCTTCACAGGCAATTAAATATTTTAAGTACGTACACCAAAGTATGGAAATTATCCGTAAACTTGGAAAAAACTAAAATTGTGATCTTCAGAAAAGGTGGTCCAATAGCGTCGAAAGTGAGATGGTCATTCGATGGTCAGTTAGTCAATATAGTAGATCACTACTCATATTTAGGAATCTGGTTCTCACACACAATGAATTGGAAAAAAATGTGCCCTTGACTTGTCCTTGCGTGCAAAGAAAGCTTTAATAAGTGTAATGTCTATTTCTCATAAAGTGGGATCGATGTCACCTAATATCTTCTTTAAGCTTTTCGATACCCAGATACAACCAATTTTATTGTATGGTTCTGAAGTATGGGGATTCCAACGTTATGACTGTTTAGAGAAGGTTCATTTATTAGCATGTAAAAAGTTTCTTTGTGTCGGATCTTCTACACCAAAATGCATGGTTTATGGTGAATGTGGTAGATACCCATTATATATTAATTCTCAGATCAGATGTTTAAAATACTGGTTTAAAATTCTTCATATGCATGAACAACGTCTCCCCAAATTAGCCTATAACATGCTTCTACATTTAGATAACATGGGAAAGAATACTTGGACATCGCATATAAGAAATCTTTTATTTTCGCATGGTTTTGGTTTTATATGGCTATGTCAGTCAGTTGGAAATGTAAATATGTTTCTTAATGAATTTCGGAATCGGTCTATAAATATGTTCTACCAAGAATGGCACTCCACCTTAGAGGATAGTTCGCGTTATGAATATTACAAAACTTTCAAGACTTTACTTCAACCAGAAATATATTTATCAGTACTCACTACGGAAAACTTAAGAAAACAGTTAATTAAATATCGACTTGGTTTGCTAGACCTATTTGTAAATGAAGGAAGAAAACTGTCCATTGAAAAAATGAAAAGAATTTGTCCATTGTGTAAGCTAGAGATAGAAAATGAAATTCATTTTGTGTTTGTCTGTCCATTTTACAATGATCTCCGAAAGAAATATATAAAAGATTATTTAATAGCAATGTCACCGATAAACGCCTCTATAGTTATGCTGACGACAAAGAACGAATCAAATATATTAAATCTTTCTCTTTATATTAAGCATGCATTAGCCAAAAGAAATGAATTAATCAAACAACGTGTAACAAATGTAATTGTATCTACATGCGTAACTCTTTCTTGTATATGGGCCGGTGGCCTTTTGTACAATAAACTTCTTTGACTTTGACTTTGATATGTGGATGTGTGGATGTGTGGATGTGAGGATGTATGGATATGTGGATGTGTGGATGTGTGTATGTGTGTATGTGTGGACGTGTGGATATGTGGATATGTGGATGTGTGGATGTGAGGATGTATGGATCTATGGATGTGTGGACGTGTGGATGTGTGGATGTATGGATGTGTGTATGTGTGTATGTGTGGGTGTGTGTATGTGTGGACATGTGTATGTGTGTATATGTGTATGTGTGGATGTGTGGATGTGTGGATGTATGGATGTGTGGATATGTGGATGTGTGGATGTGTGGATGTTTGGATGTGTGAATGTGTGGATGTGTGGATGTATGTTTGTGTGTATGTGTGTATGTGAGGATGTGTGGATGTGTGGATGTATGGATGTGTGGATGTGTGGATGTATGGTGTATGGATGTGGCGATGTGTGGATGTGTTGATATGTTGGTGTGTTGATCTGTGGATGTGTGTATGTGTGGATGTGATGATGTGTTTGATGTTTGGATGTGTGCATGTGTACATATGTTAATGTGTGGATGTATGGATGTGGCAATGTGTGGATGTGTGGATGTGTTGATGCGTGGATGTTTAGATGTGTGATCTTTTTAGAGGTGACGATATGTCGATTTGTGGATATGTAGATGTTTTGATGAAGCGATGTTTGAAGATGAGGATGTTTGGAGGTGTGGAGGTGGTGATGTTTGGATCAAGCGATTTGTGGAGATGTCGAGGTGTGGATTTGACAATGTGTGGATGTGTCGATGTTTGAAGATGGTGATGTTTGGAGGTGTGGGGGTGTGGAGGTTTGGAGGGGGCGATGTTTGGATCAGGCAATTTGTGGAGGTGGCGAGTTGTAGATTTGACGATATGTGGATGTGTGGATGTATAGATGTGTAGAAATGTAGATTTTGCAATGTGGCGATGTGTATAGGTGGCGATGTGTTGATATATAGATGTGTAGAAATGTGGATTTTGCATTGTGGTGATGTGTATAGGTTGCGATCTGTGGATTTTTAGACGTGGCAAGGTAGCGACGTGTGGAGGTATAGATGCTTGGGTATGCGGATTTAAGAATGTGGCGCTGTGTGGATGTCTGCAAGGTGTGGACGTCTACATGTGTTGATGTGTGGATGTATGGATGTGGCGATGTGTGGATGTCTGCAAGGTGTGGATGTATGCAAGGTGTGGATCCCTGCAAGGTGTGGATGTATGCAAGGTGTGGATGTCTGCAAGGTGTGGATGTATGCAAGGTGTGGATGTCTGCAAGGTGTGGATGTATGCAAGGTGTGGATGTCTGCAAGTTGTGGATGTCTGCAAGGTGTGGATGTCTGCAAGGTGTGGATGTATGCAAGGTGTGGATGTCTGCAAGGTGTGGATGTCTGCAAGGTGTGTATTTCTGCAAAGTGTGGATGTCTGCAAGGTGTGGATGTGTGAAGTTGCCGATGTGTTGTGGTGGCGATGTGTTTGAATCCAACGTGCGTTTGATCTAATTGTGTCTATGATCTCATCATGTCTATGATCTAATCATGTCCATGATCTAATAATGTCTATGATCTAATCATGTCTATGATCTAATATGTGTATGACGTAACTAAAGTGCCATAAAGCCGACAGTGCCTGTCGTAGGAGGCGACTAACGGGATCGGGGGCTTTGGCTCGCTGACTTAGTTGATGCATGTCATCGTATGCCAATTGCGTGGATCGTTGCTCCTGAAGTCAATCATTGGATTGTCTGGTCCAGACTCGATAATTCACAGACCTCCGTCATATAGCTAACATATTACTGAGTGCGGCGTTAAACAAGAAACAAACAATCAAATGTGACTATGTTAGTGATTCGAATTTGCGTGTTATCTAATTGTCTGTTTGATCTAGTGAGTGAGTGAGTGAGTATGGTAGGGTTATTGCGCCGCTTTTAGCAATATTCCAGCAATATCACGGCGGGGGACACCAGAATTTGGCTTTACACATTGTACCCATGTCGGGAATCGAACCCGGGTCTTCGGCGTAACGAGCGAACGCTTTCACCACTACGCTACCCGACCGCCCCTCCGTTTGATCTTATGTGTATGATGTAACTATGTGTTTGATCTAATGTTCGTATGGAGTAATGATGTTTTTTAATCCAATGTGTGTATGATGCTAATGACAGTCAGATGTTAATGCTTACAATTCAATTATGTACCCAGTAACACTTATCTGATCTAATATAGTTTCTAATATATCTATAACGTCAACGTTGAAAAATAGGTGAACGGACCAGCGAAAGTCAGTGATGACACCAGGTGTTTGCATGTCCTGCCCTACCGGTAGCACCCCCACACACACATTGTGTCTGACGTCACACAGCACTGCACACGATGTATTTACAGTAAACTACGGTTATAACGAGCACGCTTATAACGAACTGACCGATGTAACGAACTTATTATTTAGTCCCTGCCAGTTGTTGCATATATGCTGTATATATGCTTATAACGAACTTGTGTTATTACGAACTAAAATTAGTGGTCCATTTGAGTTCGTTATAACCGTAGTTTACTGTAATCTTAATTACGTCTACTGTGCAAAAGCGCAGAAATTCTGCTTCTTATAAATAAAGAAAAACTTTTAAAATTATGTTCGATTTGCAACACAGGTGGGAAGTTTTAATGCCTCTGCCTAACCATTTCTTGTAAGTTGACTCAGCATTATTAATAAATAGTCATGATCTAATGATGGACCTCTGGTCACCTTCACAACACCTTGTGCTAACATCTTACTTACGCAAATGGAAACCGCCGAAGCAATGCCCTGTAGATATCCTCCATCATCTCGCATTGTTTCCTTTAGTAATTACGGACCTCATGTGTCTCCCTCTCACGGATAAGAGCGGGGGATCCTCCCACACAGCGCCGTGCTATATACACACCCAGTACATTGCCGTCGTTCATTTGTCAAGCACCGGGTGTCCATCAGGGAGCAGTGGACGGGAGGCTCATGACGTTGCTAGAACCCAGGAACCGACTCCACGCACCACTCTCATCTTCATCAGCTGACCTCCAGTGCACTGTTCTTCCCTTCAGAGAAGTTGAGTTTTGATAAAACTGTTTCTAAACAAAATGGGATTAGCGTCGTGTATGTGACCTCCAAGATAAAACCAGTTTTGTGAAGAGGACGGCAACCAGTCGACAACAGCAAGACGGCGATGTGCAAGGTTTGATTGAAGTCATTTATTGTTTAGTTTTAAATATTGTCTCCAGTGATTCTGAGTAATCTTCATAGGACGAGTAAGTTTCAGGTGATATAAACTCAAAAACAATCAAACTACCATTTCAGTATGTGAAATCTAATGATAAGTATCAAGAAATGGAGATGTTGCTCTACAGCACGATAGATGAGTTAAATGTCTACGAACAAGTCTCTTAACATTTAGAAGTTGGAGTGCTAAGTAAGGATAAGTTATATGGATAAACAACGTTTTCTCTATTTGTAATAAAGACGTTACACCTTATCCTTACTTAACACACCTCTCGTTAAGACGGACCCAGCTTGATATCGTGTAACGCGCATTGGGGTCACACCTCAAACTGTCTTCCCCACTCCAACTATTGTCCACCTCTTCAATGGAAACAACGTGACAAATCACTGTAAATGGTACGTTTCTGCTGTCCCCCGCCGTGATGTTGCTGGAATATTGTAAAATATCGTAAAACCAAACCATTTGATAATGATTCATAAAAACAACATACTCATAATGTGATCACAATCGTACAATCGACTCTACCTTTAGCATAGATCATTATGCTGGCGGAAAGGACTTTGTCGCTTTTAGATCAGAAAATGTGTTTGGCTCCTCTTTAGAACCAATGACCCAGTTCTGAACAGAAAAAGAGAAGGGCTGTGTGTTTCTGAAATCATGTTGAGATGAACGTGCAGTGCACGTGCCCGCCACTACCGGTATGCTCTGGCAACTATTGCCAGTCGGTATGCACTGAACCAACTGTGGATCCATTGCAGCAGAATTGGCAGTATTTATCAACATGTCAACATTTCAATTTATCAAACCCCATTCACCCTTTCTTATCGTCATAGGTTCGAGCAAACCTTTATTCAGGTCGCCAGAACCTAATCTCGTTACGGCTCGTTGTCGGGGACAAGGGTGGCCCAGTCGTCTAAGGCGCCGCGATTCGCTGTGCAGAGTTGCGTCCGTTGGGCACGCCAGAAACCTGTGATTGTGGGTTCGAATCCCGGTTCGCCCCGATTATGTTTCTATGTTTGTCAGCACCATACCCGGGCTCGTGGGTTTCACCGAAGTGGTAAACGTCTGAGACCTGCATCACTTCGGGTTTTCCTCCTACATTAAGCTGACACGCCGCGATATAACTGAAACATTGTGAAAAGCGGCGTTAAACCCAAATCACTCACTCACACACTCAAGGCTCGTTGTCCGTCATCTGTTCGTCCGTCCAGGGCTCACTTAGCGCTAAGACTATCGTAAGCCTATGTCAAAGTATGGGAGTTACGATCATTTCAGCGCTAAGACTATCGTAAGCCTATGTCAAAGTATGGGAGTTACGATCATTTTAGCGCTAAGGTCGCTTTGTGCAAGCGGGCCCTGTCGTTTTCTCCTTCTACACGTTTGAGCCCCAGGACTCCTTGCACTAGTTTTCGCGTCGGATTTGTTTAAGACGTTAAACTAGATCGAACAAAACCAAATCATGGACAATCTGCTGGAATCTTTTCACAAACAAAGGAACCCGCGACACTGATCTCGAGTATCAGAATGAAGGCCAAACTGAAGCAACTTTTTACTTCAAAAGATTTATTTCAGTCTTCAAAAATCGTTTAGAATCATTGCTGGCCCCAAGTGTGACGTGGCATAAGTTGATATTACGATATGCAGGTATTATGATATGTTGGACATTATGATATGTTTGCGAATATGATTTGTTGATATTTTCATATGTTGGTTTTATGATATGCTGGTATAAAGATATGTTGGTATTATGATATGTTGGTTTTATGATATGCGGGTCTCATGATATATTTGTATTATAATATGCGGGTATTATGATATGTTGATATAATGATTTGCTGCTCACGTCTCAGAAACCTATTCACAGTATTATTTACCAATATGAGTGTAGCACTGCATGAAGATGTTAACTGAGGCTTAACCGATATGACATGGCCGTTATACTGTCCTCTCTAGACAGAACAGGAAACATTACACAGATCACATCACACAGATCACATCACACAGATCACATTACACAGATAGCATCACACAGATCACATCTCATAGATAATATCACACAGATCACATTACACAGAACTAACTACGCAGGTCACATCACAGAGATCACATAACAAGATCACATTGCACAGATCACGTCACAGATCATTCTAAATAGATCACACAGTTCACATAACACAGATCACATCACACAGATCACATCACACAGATCACATCACACAGATCACATCACAGATCACATTACAGATCACATCAGACAGATCACATCACAGAGATCACATAACAAGATCACATTGCACAGATCACATCACAGATCATACATAAACAGATCACACAGTTCACATAACACAGATCACATCACACAGATCACATCACACAGATCACATCAGAGATCACATTACACAGATCACATCACACAGATCACATCACACAGATCACATCACAAGGATCAAATCACACAGATCACATCACAGATAACATCACAGATCACATCAGACAGGTCAAAGTACACAGATCACACTACATAGATCACATTACACAGATCACATCACAGATGACACTACACAGGTCACATGACACAGATCACACTACATAGATCACGTCACAGATCACACTACACAGATCACATCACAGATAACACTACACAGATAACACTACACAGAAAACACTACACAGATAACACTACACAGATCACATCACAGATAACACTACACAGATCACACTACACAGATCACATCACAGATCACATCACACATCACAGTACACAGATCACATTTCACAAATCACACTTCAAAGATCACACCACAGATCACACTGCGCAGATCACATCACAGACCACACTACACAGATCAAATTACACAGATCACACAACACAGATTACACAGATAACACTCCACAGATCACAACACAGATCACACTACACAGATCAAATCACAGATCACACTACACAGATCACACTACACAGATCACACCACAGATCACACTGCGCGGATCACATCACAGACCACACTACACAGATCAAATTACACAGATCACAGAACACAGATAACACTACACAGATTACACAGATGAAATAACAGACCACACTACACAGATCACACTACACAGATCACATCACAGATCACATCACAGATAACACTACACAGATCACACTACACAGATCACATCACAGATCACATTACACAGATCACACTACATAGATCACATAACACAGATAACACTACACAGATCACACTACAAAGATTACATTTCACAGATCACACTACAAAGATCACACTACACAGATTACACAGATCACACTACACTGATCACATCACAGATGACACTACACAGATTACACAGATCACATTACACAGATCACATCACAGATGATACTACACAGATTACATCACACTATGAAGATAACACAGATGACACTACACAGATCACAATACACATGTTACACAGATCACACTACACAGATTATATCACAGATCACACTACATAGATAACATCACAGACGATACTACACAGATCACACTACATAGATCAAATAACAAACCACACTACACAGATGACACTACACAGATCACATCACAGATAACACTACACAGATCACATCACAGATCACACTACGCTGATCACATCACAGATCATACTACACAGCTCATATCACAGATCACACTACATAGATCATATTACAGATCACACTACACAGATCATATCACAGATCACACTACAGAGATCACATCACAGATCACACTACATAGATTACATCACAGATGACATCACAGATGACACTACACAGATCACATCACAGATCACACTACACAGATCATATCACAGATCACACTACATAGATTACATGACACTACACAGATCAAAATAACAGACCACACTACACAGATGACACTACACAGATCACATCACAGATAACACTACACAGATCACACTACACAGATCATATCAGAGATCAAACTACACAGATCACACTACACAGATTACATCACAGATCACACTACACAGATTACACAGATCACACTACACAGATCACATCACAGATAACACTACACAGATCACACTACACAGATCATATCAGAGATCAAACTACACAGATCACACTACACAGATTACATCACAGATCACATTACACAGATTATACGACACAGATCACATCACAGATTACATTACACAGATGACACAGATCACACTACACAGATCACATCACAGATCACACTACAAAGATTACACAGATCACACTACACAGATCATATTACAGATCATATCACAGGTCACACTTCACAGATCACATCAGAAATAACACTACACAGATTACACAGATCACACTACACAGATCATACTACACAGATTACACTACACAGATCACAATACACAGATTACATCACAGATCACACTACACAGATTACACAGATCAAACTACACAGATTACATCACAGATCACACTACACAGATTACACAGATCACACTACACAGATCACACTACACAGATTACACAGATCACACTACACAGATTACATCACAGATCACACTACACAGATTACACAGATCACACTACACAGATCACACTACACAGATTACACTACACAGATCACAATACACAGATTACATCACAGATCACACTACACAGATTACACAGATCACACTACACAGATCACACTACACAGATCACACTACACAGATTACACAGATCACACTACACAGATTACATCACAGATCACACTACACAGATTACACAGATCACACTACACAGATTACATCACAGATCACACTACACAGATTACACAGATCACACTACACAGATTACATCACAGATCACACTACACAGATTACACAGATCACACTACACAGATTACATCACAGATCACACTACACAGATTACACAGATCACATTACACAGATCACACTACACAGATTACATCACAGATCACACTACGCAGATTACATCACAGAACACATTA